TCAAACGCGTTCACTCTTAGCGTTTCGCACGCAAATGAAACGCGTTTCAGACGCGTTTTGAGGCAAAAAATATTTACATGGGTGTCCTAGCTTCTAGCATGAATAGAAAAAAAAATTTTTAAATCTATTGTGAAATCCAACGAAGAAATTTTTTCTTCTGATCTCGATAGGCAGTAATGCTGATGCAAGGCATACGAGATGAATCATATTGAATCCAAATGAAAATCATAGTGCTTTATTTTTCTTCTTTCGTCAGAATACAATCTTCAGATATTGACGGAATTGATTAGAAGTGCGTCTTAATTCCCACTTCGCTTAGGTAAGAGAAAAATTGTTAATAAATATATGCAGCTGTTTCAAAAAGCTTAAAAAAATATATGGCATTCGTCTTTCTTGAAAAGGATGGTCTGCAGGTGAGGTTATACGTAATTATGAAGAGACTGTTCAAAACATAAAATAGTCTTTTCTAAACAAACACTTTTTCTTACCGTTGCAAAACGTCACAATTTATACTATTTCTATTCAACTAAACCAGTAAGTGATAAACATCGGCAACGTCATTTTTCATTTAAACAACCCTCCAATATAAATCAATTATTTAGAATGAGCATGAAAATCTCAGTAAGATGGAAAATTTTGTTCTCTGTAAGAAAAACTTTCACCTTTTATCGGTAATTTTTGTAACTGTAGGTCTATGGGGGCTACGAATGAACATTTTCTTAGATATGTTCTATTTTACTGTAGAACGCCGATAGACGGCTATTTTCCATTATCATCATTATAGACGACTTAGTTATATTGCGACAAAGTCTACTAGATACTCATTTCTATACGTAATTGCCTTTTCTATATAGCATCATGTAAAAAAAGCTGTTGAAACTCACATTTTCAATAACTGTAAAATCAAATACTAAAAAACATAATATAGACAGGTTTTGAAAATCATTTCACATACTATTATTGGATAACACAATGTCAAATCGCTGAGTGGTATAGATAGATCGATATAGTCTTTCATGCTAGTTGAAAATACAACATGAAAGAACAACAAAACATACGGCAGAGTTGAATAAAAGAAACGTTTGAATCAAACAAGATTTTACAGCCATAATAACGCTCCGAGATGTACTTGTTTGACTATTTCTCGTTCTCGCATTTATGCGTCTATGCCGAGTTCACTTTGTTCGCCACCAAGTATGTGATTGATCATGATGCTGAGGAGGGTGCGGGTGTGGGGTGTGAGGCTTATTCTCTCACATCCACACCCAGAAGTAAAGCATGTAGTAGATAAATTTGGTGTAAACAATGACTTAGCAAAGTTGTGTTACAGCAATGTCTGTGTGAATAGGAAAGCCACATTTTTTTATGGCTGAAACGCAAAGGATGACCATTGTGAAGACCAAATTGATGATGACTTGCATGCACACAGTCTTTATTCCCCTCTTTGCCTGATATAAAAATAAATGCTACAGAAAGAAAAGTTAGCAATGCTTTGAATTGGTTTCCTTCTCTTAAAATTTAAATATTGAATTTCTCCCATATAACTGAACCCTTTGCCTAAATCACAATAACATAGGAAGCAACTCCTTGCGTCGAATAAAAATAGCAAAATAAAGTGGAGTACAGCATTGTCAAAAAAAATACCCGCATTTATCTTTTATCTAACAATCGTAGCTCCAATATTATTCAGCAACGATGGTGTGGGTGTGGGTGTCGGTATGAATATCCTGTTACACCCATCCACACCCCACTTCAAGCCGTTTCGAATGTATGATCCAATATGTACTTGAGGGTGTGCGTGTGGATGCAGGCGTGTGGAGTATGGGTGGGTGTGAGTGTGAGTGTGGTTCTTCACTGACTCCATTCACATCAACTCATCGGTGACCACACTCACACCCTCTTTTTCCTATTCAAGATAAACAATATACGATTTGATTCTGCTTGAGGTCGAAGAAGAGAAGCAACAAATAATTTAATTCACGTCTAACTATCTGCAAATTAATCCGCCACCAATGAACCATATAGTATTATCGAATTTTTCGATTTAGTAAAGAAACATTAACTTATTCGTTATATGCGTCCCGCTGAAAGAAAAATGGCGTAGTCACTCGCCTTTCTTCTTTTCACTTACGAACGATAATAAGCAAAACATATTGCGTTGGATAAAAACAGCGTTTGATATTGTGCTAACAATGAAGGGAAATACGAACAGATGTATATCTGTATGTATATCTATCGAGCCTCTTTCATTCTTGTTGTCATACTCCAAAGACAATTATATTACTTTAACAATGCGTTTTCTCTCTCTCTTCTTGCTTTTCATTCTCTTTTTTGCTGGCACTCAGGCACTTAAAAAGAGGCTATTGCCAGAGGTGCATGCAGGTGAGTTTTCTCAAGACTACGAAAGATGATGGAAATTATATCTTTCTAGGCTACTGTCCGATCCCTCATATGATATGTCATATGGTCTGTTCGCCTGACATGGCCGCCAAGATGTGTGCGAATGATCCTGACTGCTGCAAGAGAGACAGACACTGTGCTTCGGACGAAAAATGCTGTCGACTCGCATGTGGATGCAACAATCGATGTATGAAAGCCCAAGAAAAACCAGGCTGGAACAATTAGTCTTAGTTAATGTGACAGTATACTTTCGATTTTGAATGATTTGTTGCGTAATAATTCATAAATGAAGTGAATATTAGTGACGAAATTGGAATTGAACCTCTCGAAATGAATAAATCTTACCGAGCAACAGCTTGCCTAAGATTTTGGCAAAAATTCGCAAGAAAATAGGGTCGTGTTTTAAGAACGTTCGCTTGAGATGTGTTAGCACGTGTGTTTTTCACACACAGCCTTCATGTCTAAAAGATAGTTGAAAGAAAACGAAGTTTGAATGGCCTGCTTTTTCGTTCTTTTGGAAGCGATCGTACAAAACAACGTGTCGTCTTATGTTCTTTTCTTAAATAATGGATGTGGGTGTGGGCATGGATGATAACTTTCTCTAAACCCACATCCATCCACACCTCACACCTACACCCCATTTCTATCTAGTAAATTGTCCTACGATTTACTTATCAAAAAAGAATAATAAATGCTAGAGAAATAGAAATAATACAGAAAAAAGGGCACTGATCTTTCGGATTATCTTACAGTGATGATTTCTCAAAGTTAGTCAATGAAGCATGGACATATGATTATATCAAATATTTTCTAGGTAACACAATGAATTTCCTTCTTTTTTTCTGTTGAAGAAGTTATAAAAACTCTTACCGCTTCTAGATTAAATTCCTGCTTCCTAGATATCCTAATTAATATTGAGAATCGATTATTGATAAGTCTACTTATTAGACTCGTTTACAGGATTATCTATAATATGGTTTTCTTTCATAAGGATAACTTGAAAATCATTTGATAAATATTCTGGTTTTAAGTGTAGCCATGTGTAAAATTTGAAACCAACGTGGATTACATTAACAGGTTTTTCTCATTTGAGGTTACCTCTGGCCATTTCTAACGCTTTGGCGTGAATGACTCATTCAAAAAATTGGAAGTTTTCAAGACACGTAAATATTGCAAAGCAGATCAGAATTTGTCATAGATTCAAAGTTGCCGTATCTTATACTTCATGAAATTTTGGGATGATAAAAAAGGCTACTATTTAAGCGGTCAGTAAAATAAATTAAATGATCAGTAAAATAGATGAAATGGTCAGTAAGATAAATGGTCAGTAAAAAGTATATAAATGATCAGTAAAAAGATTAAATGGTCAGTACTTAGACAATCACTCATATAAAAAAAAAGATTGGAAAAAATCTAATTTTAATTGATTTTTTAAATCAAACTAGTGATTAAAATAAATTAAATTTATAAATATTAATTTTAATGGCGGCGACGGTAAAATGCGTTTTCTCAAACTTTATGTTGAAAACTCAGATGTTCGATCGCTTTTTCGGACTCCTTGCCTCGGAAAATTAGTAGATATGATGCTAGATCGACCTTTGACATAAATTCCATGCTTCAAGACTCGATATCAATTGGTACTTATTCATTTAAAAAGAAAAACTATTAGAATTGATTAAAATCGATTTAAAAATTTTAATCGATTTTAATAGATTAAAAATCGAATAATCTGACTAAAATTGAGTAAAATAGTCAATGAAAAAATTTTAATCGGTTAAAATGGATATTTATAAATTTAATTTATTTTAATCACTAGTTTGATTAAAAACCTGGTTAAAACTGTCCCATTTTAATCGATTTTTAATCACAAAAAAATCGATTAAAATCAGATTTTTTCCAATCTTTTTTTCTATATGAGTGATAATCTAAGTACTGACCATTTAATCTTTTTACTGATCATTTATATATTTTTTACTGACCATTTATCTTACTGATCATTTCATATATTTTACTGACCATTTCATTTATTTTACTGACCGCTTAATAATATCCCGATAAAAAAGGCATTAAATTTTCACCTCCGTTGCTTGGAGATGCTATGTTTGATTGAGGTGAAAATTTTCCTACAGGCACTAGACATGATTTGGAATGGATATCTTTTCAGGTTTTTTGTCCTTCGAATAAGAAAGCAGATTTTCTTGCAATGTAAAAAATTTTAAAGTTGGCTTGAGGAAAACAGTGACCACAAAAAAGTAAAAGTGAAAAAATCATTTTGTATGACAAAAAAGGAAATGTAATACTCTGAAGTAATCCATCATTGCGGAAACTTTTTATTCGGTTGTTGAACTATGTCAATCCGAATTTTTTTCTTTGTAAACAAAATAAACCAGAGAGGTAAGCATCTTTTTCATAGTAGTAATAACTATTATACCATTATAATTTATTTTTATTCATTAAAGTGAATCAATCTGACTGAAGGCTAGAACTGCATAATTCTATTCTTTTTAATCATCTTTTAATAAATATCAGAGAACAAAAAAGTAGTATTCCTTGTTAGTACGAAAATGTTTTTATTTATGAATAAGCATGAAAAAATCAAGTTAGTTGTTTATGTGGAAAATTGTATATTGAATAAATTTTTCCCATGATGAATAGTTCAATTCTAATTGTGCACAATAAATCCCATAACATGAACGTTTCTCTTCATAAAATTGAACACCTTTATCAATATTTTCTAATAGAAGACTTGGTAAATGACGATGAAGAATTGACTTTAAATATGAAAGAAAAAATTAGACAAATAAAAATGACATAATTTCTTACTCGAATTTGTTCACTATCGAATGGAACCAAAAATATATTTCTTTCTGATGCAGGTACTTGTAATAACAATACAAGAAGAACAATACCCGTAGCAATCAAATGTATTATATCATGTTGTATATTGAAAGCTGAAAGAAAATAATTCGATAGTTCTTGTTGTCTCTTGTTTTTTATTCGTTTGGAAAAAAAATAATTTCATCTTACCAAATGAATTAAAACCTTGTTTATTTAAATATATTTTAAGTTCATCGAAATCTTTTACGTTCATAGATAATAAATTTGCTAAAGCTTGATTTAAATCAAATGATCCATTTGTTAATTGAATTCTTTTTAATTCATTAATTCCTGCTGTTGTAAAATCAATTTGTTTCAATTTATTAAAAGTTGGAAAACCTTTAAATGTATCTGATTCACCAGTAAAATTTATTCTTGAATAGGAAGTTTCACCTTTAAGCTACAAGTAAAATTGAAAATTTTTTGTTCTTTTTTGAAATTTAACAAACCATATATAATGCATCATTTGGTTTTCGATTACGAATGCATAAAGCACGAAAATCGAAGTTACTTTCTATATATGAAACATGCCGTTCAATATCGTTCTCATCAAGTGGATCTACATAATAAATAGAAATTCATTAAGAAAATGACTGAAGCGCATAAGGACCATCCTCAGTTTCCATCCATATTTAGTTTATCTAATCCAGAATTTCATTAGGAATCGTTTGAAAACCGAAGACTGACTATCCATACTGTTGCCTCTCTCTCTAGTAAAACAACATGGATTAATGATGACTTCTGAAAACTTCTAGGAATTGCTACAAAATCAGATAATTGCTGAGTTTTTCAGAAGTGATCTGTAATAGAAAAGATGAATTGAATTTCGTTTGGATATGCTTTTTTTTCATTCTTTCAGAAAATCTTAATAGATTTGGGTAGGCTTTCAGACAAAACGAATAGCGTAGTACGAATCAACATAAGACTGAGCCGAGTGATATTTTTCAACGAAGTTTTTTTCTTTAAATTATATAAGACCTATAGAAGACAAGTGAAACAAAAATGAAAGAAAATGATGTCCAAATCAAGTTCAACTTGTCTTATGTAACAAAATCCGTTTCAAAAAACCGAACAGTATCTGATTATATGAACGTTCCAGCGAGCTTTCAAAACCTATTATAAACCCATGATTTTTTTTTCTCTCTGGAGATGTTAAGAAAATAATCAGAACACATGAGCAGAATTATTATCTGTATCAGGAAAACTGAAGATGATCCTTATGCGCCCGTATATTTTTCATTTTAATAGAAAGAAATCCTTACAATTATTTTGATCAATGGTAAATTCTGTTTTGGCACCTGATCGTGATTCTTCAGCTTCAACTTGTAATAATCCGTTACTATCAATATCCATACTGATCGATATTTCTAAGGTCTGTGAAGCAAAATTTTGCGACAAACCAGTAAGCATAAATTCACCAATGAACGTCTAAAAAAACAGATAAAATGAATCAATATAATAATTGTTGATTCAAAATATTTTGAACTAACATTATATTTTGTAAGTTTATGTTCACCACGAAAAACACGAATTGTAGCTGTTGTTTGATAAGCATAAGCATTTGTAAATACAGGATAAAATTGTGTTCGCAATGGGATTGTTTGATTACGACGAACTATTATACACATATGACCATTTATGTCTTCAATGCCCAAACTGAGTGGTGTAACATCAAGTAATAATAGATCTTTTTCGCCAGATATAGGTGATGCTGTTCGTTTCGCTAACGATCTAAAATACAGTTCAATTTATATGTTATTTGCTAGAATGAATGACTATTATTTCAATGGCATACTTTCCCTTCTTCTTGAACATTGTCATGCAAGATTCATGTTTACTAGTCGATTCTATCGTTGATTTCGTTACTGTTTCATCGAATCGTGTCTACAATAAGAAATAATTTATGCAAATGATCTAAGTATAATTCTATCTTTACATACATCAGCATATCGTAAGCGTGACATTGAAGATACAGGTGATTTCTCTGCACGCCAGCTAACTGGTTTTCTTAAGACATTACTTTCGCGAAATTCATTTCGTTTTTTTTCTTGGGTTGAAAAAAAGCCTAAATCACACAGATTGTTTAGTGTGCTTAATTGTTGTTCACGATCTCTAATAACATACTTGTTGAGGATGGAGGAGCAGCAGCAGCAGGAGTTGAGGATGTAGTCATTGACATCATGTTAGATGATGAGGGCATCACTAATGAAGATGTTGTACTATTAGGACAGAATAAAAATGATGCTGATGAAGCCTGAGGAATTGTAGACATCGATTGATTGACGACCGTTTGAGGCGCAACACTACCAAAGGTACTTTCACCAGCACTGCCGAAGGAAACAACTGATTGTGGCTGTGAGTATATGTTACTAAGCGGTACTGCTTCTGTTGTTGTTAGCGGTGTAGGGAAAACACTAGAACTCATGGAATGTTGCTGCATGAAAAATTCCGGGTGTATAGCCGAAGTAGCGATGTTACCATCAGTATTGCTGCTTTCCAACAAAGCTGTCTGATGTGCAGAAGAACGTGATGGCGCTCGTGGTGGTAGTGTTAGAGGCACAGCGAAAAACGTTGTTGAACTGCCAAATGTTGAAGGCTGGTTGCTTTTGATGCTGCTAGCGTCACCTCCTAATGAGAAACAAGATGATGTAGAAGGTGTTGCTGAAACACCAAATCCATCGAAACTAAAAGAAGCATTATTGGTAGCGCCATATGTCGGCGTACCAAATGCAAATAATGAAGGAGGATGTGGTTGTGTTGTACTGGTAGTGATCGTAGCACCAACAGAAACCTGATTGAATGTTTGAGTACCAAATGTTGAGAACACAGGATCGGTATTACTCTTAGTATTGATGGTACTGCTTTGGTTGGAGAATATTGATGTTGTAACAGGAGCATTGATGGGGATGCTCATTTGTTGCATTTTTGGTGCAATCCTCTTACGAGTTGCTATTCTGTAATTACGGGAAGAACCGAACATATCTGATATTGTATGTGGTGCTTGGGAAAATAATGGCGACATTTGTTGCAGAGAATGACCTAAAAAAGTGTACTGCATTTTTGATAACCTTCTCAAGATTTCTACTAAGGATGATCAACATCAAAATTTATCGATATTTATTTTATTTGAACATAGGTTTTGACGTAAAAGAAGCTAAGGTTGTTTAGCATTCTCTTTTCCACCATGTACGCGATGTTTATGAAAATGTAGAGCTGTAGCCAGAAAATTGTCCGCCAAATTATAGAAAATAGCTTTTCTTAGGTTTATTCTACTAGACAGACTATCCGACTGTCTTTCAAATATCCTGACCATTCTATTGCTGAATAAAACTATTGAAACATCTCTTTCTGGATACAAAATATCTTTGTTGAAAAATCTAACCTGTTGCAAGTGAATCATCATGATCAGCTTCATCTATAAACATAGGGCTAAAATTTTCGGAAGATGAAGCTTGTCTCTCAGCGACTGTCAATGAATCTTGAGATTTTATTTGTTCTTTTGAATAATCTTTTATTGTATAAATTGTTTCTTTTTCTTTCCCAGTTGTTTTTTCAGAATATTTCATATTTTTTATCTTTGAAGGAGCAGCACTTATTTTCTGTTGCTCAGAGATTTTGTCCATCATCGTCGAGCTTACACCATTATCAAATAAACTAAAACCCATATCATCGCCTTCACTATCATCCGTCTCTGGTTCAGCTCCTTTCACATCTTAATCATGCAAAAAGAAAACATATGTAGCATGAATATATTTATAACTATGTTTTGAATAAAGTAAACTTACTTGAGGAAAGCGATGTTAGATTTGATATTTTGTCTATTTTCTTATTCTGATTAGAGATACATGTATTCATCTCAAGAGCCATCTTCTAGGATTAATTCAAAAAATTTTTCATACATTCTATAGAATTAACTTACACATCTAAGCCTTTCTAATGCACTACCAAGTACGTCATTATATGATATGTTCTCGTCATATAACTCATTTTCGCATTCTTCTTCGTCTTCTGATTTTTCAGAAGTTATAATTTGATCATCTAAAACCATTCTAATAAAAAATAATCATAAGAACATAACATTTCTTTATATATACAACTTACGATAATTCATTTTCAATACGCTTATTAATTTCATTTAATCGTTTTTCTAATATTTTTCTTTCATCAGCTGTTGTATTATGTATTTCATTCATTAAATCTATTCATATTTATTATATACTAATTAATAATTTTAATTCAAAATTTTCATACATTACCTTGTTGCATATTTTCTTCTAATTTTCGAGCTTTTTCTTTTTCTTTTAATGTTATTCTATATGTATCAATTATTGTTAACATTAAATCATATTTTGCATCACCACCAAAACGATATGATATAGTTTGACAAAGATTTTCATATTCATTTACTAAATCAATTTTATTTGTTATCGATGCACTATCAAATAAAAGTTTAGCATTAATTAATTTATTTTTAATTATATCTATTTGTGATTTATCACCATCCCAATCAATATACGAAAGTAAATCAATATCATTTTCAAGCATAATATTAAGTAATCGAACATCAGATTCAAGTGCTTGTCCATTACGTTCTTCAATAGCTACAAAACTTGTAAATAAACTTACAATAGAATATTTCATACTAAGTTCAATTAAATCTTGTTTATATTGTTTTTTAATAAGTTCATTTTTACATTCATCATTATGTAATAAACCATTTTCATAATCTTGAATAATAGAACGTGCTGTTAAACAATGTAATATACATCCTTTTGTTTCAGTTATTTTATTACTAAATACATTTGTAACATATTGTTGATTATTTATTGTTGCTGTTAATGTTGCTTTATGACAATTTTGTATAAAACGATATACAGTTAAACGCATACCATTAAATAATGATCGAATTATTTTTGGTGTTTGATTAGTAAATTTTTCTTGTTGATGATCATCAATAGTACCATACCAATCAATAGATATATTTGTTATACATGGTTGATGAATATATTCAAGTATTTGAAGTACTTTTGTTTTCCATCTTGAACGATAATTTGAATCGAATATAGTTATTAAACCACCACCATTTATTCCATTAGCTAATTGTCTTAAATTATGTTTATTAGATGTATCACCAATTGAACATGTAAATAAACGATCATGATACATAGATAATTGATTTTCTAATAATTTTAATATAGATTTAAGATCATTTATATGTCCATCAGACAGAAGAATAAATTGTCGACCAAATTTTGATGATGATGGTAAAAGAGAATATTGACGAAGTACAGAAAATAGATCAGTATTACCACGATGATCAAGTGAATGCTATAATAAATATTGTATGATGAGATAAGATTAAAAAAACAAGAATACAAACCAAAACAAAATATTTAGCTTTATCAATATTTTCTTTTGTATTTGGTAATGAAATAGGAAAACATTCATCATTATCTAAAATAAATAAATGAATAAAAAATATTAAAAAAAAAATTTTTTTTTCCTTGATTTACCTGATCCAAATGTAATAATATTAAATAAAATATTTTGATTATCAATTTTCATATTTGTCAAAAATAAATGTGCTAATTGTTTTGCTTGTTGTACATGTTTTCCATCCATTGAATTTGATACATCAATAATAAAAACAATTTCTACATGTTCATTTCGATTATCAACTATTTCAAATTTTGGATAAAATGTTAACATACATGCTTGAGAATTTTCATCTACTAATAGATTATTTGTATTTGTATCTAATACAGCATATGTTTCATTTAGCATTCGTGGTAAATTAACACTTTTTAATGTTATGGAAAGAATAAAATCTTTTTCAAGTAAAACATTATCAACAAGTTCAATCATAGCAAGACAATCAGTGACTTTTCGACGAAGTCGATGTGTTGGTGAAAATAATTTTGTTATTTCATATGGCATACGTATAGATGTTTTTAGACTAAATTCAATTGATTTCATTGAAATATTATCTTGTTCAAGATTAATTGATGGAAGTATTGTTTGATCTTTTATTTCTAAAATTTGTTTTGATTGCCATGAAGCTATTTTAGCTGGTAAACGAAATATAATATCATTATTTTCAATAGATAATTCAGCAACATATGTTATTTTAATAATCACTTCACAATTAGCTGGTAAATTACCAACAGATACACTAAATATTTCAGGTTGTTCTTGATGCATTAAATATGCACCATGACCTTTTTCAATAGCTTCACGATATTCACGTTTAGCTTGTTCTTTTTCTTTAACAACACCTTTAATTATTTTATTATTAATATAAGCTTCAAAACCACAAACAGAAGAATTTTCATCAAGAGGAAATACATATTTAGCTTCAATTGGAATTGAACTTGTATTATAATAAACTTGATAAAGAACAATCTAAAGTAATTTATAAAGAATTTCATTTCTTTTTTTTAAATTTACTTCAGCAGTAACATCAATAAGTTGAGCACGAATATGAAAAGATTTAAGTGGAATAAGTTGACCTGATGATGGACAAATTAAACCATAATCTTGTTCTACTACTTGAATTACTTCATCTTCAATTGTGGAAGGAATATTCACTAAAATAAACATGAGATAATAAGCGAGCATGTCTTATATTCATCCGCTTAGAATTTACATGATTCTAGAGAATAGTGAAACAGAATCTGAACTAGCTATATTCTCTGATATGCAGCTCTAAGAATAAATTTTCTCACCATATGTTAGTATCTTGATGGATGAATGCTCTACAAGATAGAATAAATTTTATTGCTCACGTCTATATATTTATAGGTCATGCTTCTTGTGCAATAGTTTTCTAAAGCTTATCAAAATCTTGCTTTATTTTAATTGATACAAAATCCATAAATAGAATTTATATTCTATTTGATCAATTTGGAACCAAAGTATCAGAGAGAGACTCAAAGTAATATTATACATGTATACTAAAATCTTTTATCTTAAAAACGAAGATTTTTTCATATGGATATAAGAATTTTTGTTTCTATCGGATAATTTAATAGTTCCTATTCCAGGTTTTTGAAATCATCGAACTACGCCTGGAAAGACGATAAACGTCTATCTAGTAGTTAATATGTATTACAATTACAGTTAATTGAAGAGAACTAGAACTAAATATCAATATGAATATAGGATTCATCTGTGATTTGATTCGAAAAAAAAAACCGATTACCTTCATCTGACAAAGATTTTGATTGATTTATTAAAGGATCACGAATAATAGGTAATAATGTTAGTGATTGATCCATCATTTTATCATGTGGTATCCATGAAAGTTCAACAATATAGAGTAATCGTTGTTGATCAAGATTATAAATAACATATTCATCATCCTAAATAAACATAATTAGAGAAATCTAATTGAAAAATCTATTTATTCTCACTGTAAACTTTGAATTATTTTCATCAGTCTTCTTTACACCATGTGTACTATGAAAATTTTCAGGTGGTTCAATTAAATTTGGTGTATATGAATAGAATTTTGCTGATTTTCCTAATGCTACTTGAGATATACATAATAACCGACGACCAGGACGTGTTATACTTGATGTTGTATATTTTAATGATGTTGAACCTGAATCGGAAAAATAAAGTCCATATCCTAAACATCCAATATCAGTACGTGTAATTCCTAAATCATCAACAACCACTTTTGGCAAAAGAAGACCACTAAAATAAGAAAAAGTTCAAATAAAAAAAAACGATTTTTCTTTTTTTTATTGTTGTTCGATTAATTTACCGTGATAAAATACCAAGAAAATTATTATATTTTGATCCATGAAAAAGTTGTTTTTGATTAAAAAGTGTTGAACGAAAATTAAGTACATCTGTTTGTTTAGCTACACTATAAATTTGATGAATAATTACTCGTTCATTTCTGTAAAAAAAAAACTTTTCTTAAATTCATTTTATGTTAATTAATGACGGAAAAAAATACAAACGGATTCGTTGATGAAGAAATCATATTACTAATTGTTGCATATTCATGTGTATCATTTTTTATTGTTTCTATATGACATTTTAATGCTCGATATTTTGCTTCGATTGATGCTTTTATATTCCAATTTGTTAATTCATTTACAGTAACCATATCACGTAACATCTTAATTTTAAACAAAAAAAAAAAAAAATTAGAAAAAGAAATGAAGATAAAAAAATATTCTACCTGACATAAATCTAATTTATCAATTAATGCACGACGATTATTTATAAGATCGATAACAAATGATTTATGATGAGGAATACATGAATAGAAATAATTTTCAGCTTCTGATGATGATTTACTATCAACTTTAATTTCAAGTAAAGCAGCTTCAGCTTCAATAATCTAATAGATATAAAATATTCATTAAGATTTTTTAATATATGTTCTTTTTTCCTACTGTTTTAAGAGCAATTGTTTCTGGCTGTACAGAAAGTATTTTATTTAAATCACCAATTGATTCAATCCAAAGAGATTCAATTAATTGACAAACATTATCATCAAACATTTGTGTATCAATACGATGAAAAAATAATGACTAAAAAATTATTTCGAGTAACGAAGAAAAAACAAAAAATGAAATAAATTTTTGTTGCAATATGATAATAATATAAAGCAAATAATTGATGTAATTCATTAATATCATTACTAAATGCATATTGAATTAATGATATTATACCTTTGGAATTTATTATTGTTTGTTTTTCATAACGAAATCTTAATCGATAATCATTATTCATTTGATTATTATATTCTTCAGGAATAATTTGAAGTTCAAGAACAAAATAAATATCAGAATTTTCATTTGTTTCCTATTTCACAAAAAAAATAAATTAACATCTAATTTATTTTCAAATAAATATTTACTTTAAATATTGCCCATTTGCCAATTTCAGCATATGTTAATTCATCAAATTGTGGTAATTCAACATCATCAGAATTCCAAATTTTTATTTTTGATACGTCTAATTTAATAGGTTTTGTTGTACTACCTGAAAGACTTCCTTTACCAATGAGAAAAAAAAACAAAGTTAACTTTTATAAATTACTATGAAATCTTCTTGTTTTCTTTTTAACCTGTGACAGGTATAGTACCACTTTTTGAAAAATTTTCTTTATCTTCTGCTGATGTTACAATAAATCGTTTAATATCAATAGATTGATTTTCTTTAGATAAATTACGATATTCATAAATATATTCAACATTTATCAATGGTATACCGAGCTGTTTAGCTCGACGAGTTTTATAGGTATCAATATCATTCGAAACTAAAACATAATCAGTCTAGAAAAAAATAAATTTAATTATATTTAACTATATGAAATTAATTGAAACATACACTAGCTGTTAAACTATATGAAATACGAGCATTTTGTTCATATAAGTAATTGATTAGATCTTGTTTAGCTTTGAAACGAATATCTCGAGCAAGTTCAAGTACAAATGTTTTACCACTCAATGGTGATAAAGACGATGACATTGTTGTTATGTTAAGAGTGAATATACCGTTAATATCTTTTATCGCAAAAAAAAATAGAAATCTACACAAGACACTCAGTGACTCACATGGGATATGAAAATATGTCTGCTAAAAGAGAAAAATATGACTAATGCATATTTTTTTTTCTGTTCTTTCACTACATATCCGAAATATTGTTCTTGCACAAGTCAATGAAATGATTTGTTTATGACCTAGTAGTTGGTTTGTGTCTCGATTATTTTATTTATAGTAACAAATAAAAGGACAAACAAATCAAAAAAAGACAATATATTATACATGATTTAAGTCAGTATCATTTTCATTTGGACTTGCAGGATTACAAAATAAATTTCTCTCATGATAATCATTAGTTTTCGTGTCTAAATCATTTAAATAAATTGTTATTAAACTTAAATTTTCATACAATTGAAGCATAACGAAATAGAAAATTTTCATTTATATGGCATCAATTATTATAAATCATAAGAATCTACGTAAAAATATTTTTGAATTATTAAGTGCTCGTTGAATACTTGAATTTTCCATAATAGACCAAAACATAGTTGAATTAGGTTCAAGACCTTCTTCATTATTATCATCGATCACTTGTTTGACTAACAGTAAATCTATAGGAGGATGTTCGAAAGCCATAAGTTTGTTTTAAGTAATTGCTAGGTAGTATTGTTTGTGTGATCACTTGTCGAACTCTGCCATTTGCTCACAAGGTTTTAGAGTAGGCCCTAAGATCATCTAAATAATTTCTTAACAAGTAAAATATTAAGCTTGTATAAAAATATTTTTCTATGTGATTCTTTTTTTTCTAACGTCGTTCATTCAAGTGCTTTTCGTACTCGCTGTTCAGCAAAGCCCATATCGACTAGTCCCGGAATGATATGCTGATCTATTTCTGTATGATTTTATTCTGTTTTCAATGATTTTGATAAAATCCACATTCAGAGAAAATTATGTGATATACAATCCTTGCCAAAAGTTCTGGGACATATAAAAATAACTGTTCGAAAATTTTCTTTCCTTACATTGATTAAAATTTTTATCTAAGGTAAGCACGGTTATTGGTCAAGCTTTCATTTTCCATTGTACAAACGCAAAGCTTCTGGCTTTTACATAAAAAAACAAAAATAGATAAAAACTTTAATCGATGTGAGAAGAGAAAATTTCAGACTGTGATTCTTATGTGTCCCAGAATATTTGACGAGGACTGTACTATCTTTTTCTGGTAAATAATGTTTGTTGATAAATTCAATGCATCGACATCATCGACCTTCAGACGTCTTCTATACAGCAACATACTTTCGATAACCTACGTGGATGGAACAAGCATATCGAGTCTTATCAGCATCGATAGTGTTTCGGTAAGTGAGAACATTCTTTGTTTTTTGTCTCTTTCAAATATGCTAATGACAACTATCTAAATTCTTTACTATTGGACATCACTACGTTGTTGTGATTACTTTTTCAAGTATTTCGAACAATATTCCATCTAATGGTATCTGCAGTAAATATTGAGTTTTTCCCATGCAGACATATGACCATTTGAAAAATGTTGCTTCATTAGGTTTAGGACTTTATTCGCTTTCTTGAGAACACATGAAACCACTTGTTGTCAGTCTTTGGCATCAAAGACTTATGGATCAACCAATAGTTTCATTTTGGCTTGATCCCTATGAATTATTGATTTTTGTGACCACTATTGACAAAAAAAAGACTAATTTAGGAATCCATAACATCCAAGAGACGAGGAGATTTTCTTCGGTAGTGTTGATTCTCAACTCTTCGAAAATGAAATCATTCATGCTAATGCGACCAAACAACATGAACAAGCATGACAAATTGGATTGAATGGGTAAATAAGTTATTATCAAACTCAATTATATTTATCAAAGTTCTGCTTCATGTTGTTTAGCCTTAAGGCTGATACACTGAATTTGTGTAATGGTGACTGTGAAGCAGTTATCAACCCTCGCACAACATCTATTATCGGACCATTTTCGGACATTACACGCTTTCAACAGGCGACTCCCACTTACAACTCAACAGTAACTACCACTATAAAAATACATTCAATGATCTGAATGAATATTTATTTATATTGCAGTTTGATACGGTCGATTGTTCATACCGATCATCTATGCTTGATCTAATTTTCATTATTCGAGGTCGGCCATTGAGATTGAGTGTTGCTCAATAGGTTTATTCTGAAATTGATCCATCAAATAATAATAATATCATCTGCCATCTTGCTATACCACTTTTGACGTTGGCAAAAGACGAATAAGTTTTGCCAAATCAGTTTCTTATGTTGAGCAAGGAACAAGTGAAGCAAGTCTTGTCTTCATCCACACGCAGCAATATCCACAAGATGTAAATGCATATATCACGCAAACTACAATACAGTGTATCTAAAAGACAAAAACATCTAGCAGATAAAAAAATTCGCATGAGTGTTGGAGGAAGGTGAATATAATTCTATATAGTCTCTTCTCCTGCACCGATGCTCATGCCATCCACGTCCACACTCACCTCACTCTTAAAATCACTATATTTTCTCATTTTAAAGTTATTACGACAAATCAAAAAAGAATGTTTCGATTTTTCATAAATCTCATCAAGTGGTAACTACTAATGTAGAAAAATCTAATTTCAAAAGCGAAGATAAATCAATAAATAGACCTAAAGATCTATTCAAAAGTAGATATCCCTATGAAAAAATGAATGAGCAAATACAGAAGATAAGACAAGAAATTCAAAGCATCACACGATACGTTTAGACCTTGCTTAAGAAAAGTGTCGATGTAGTTTATGAATGAAATGGTAGCTTAAATTTCATCATAGTTATTTGGTCGTTAATATTTTTAGTCGTTGCACTAAAGAGCAAAAAAAAGCAAACTTTATACTCGAAGTTAATTTGAATTACTTGAGAGCACTTCGAGCTACTTTAAATTTCTTTTGACGTAATTTTACCATACGTGAAATGTGATTTTTCCCTTTTGCATCGTACAGAGAAACTTACATTTCTTCACATTTTCTTGCAAGACCTTCTTCTCTATGAAGCTACAAAGTGAGTTCCGAGTTAGTCGTCAAAGTTATTCTTCATTCATGCCTTCATATTGTTATGTCTTGAATATTTTTTAAAACTTACATGAATACATTGCAAAATCTATCTCATAAACTTCTAATGAAAATAGTCCCTGTGTTCGGAATACAAATATTGATATGTCTATCAAACTAGCATTCTAGAATTTAACCTATACATTTTTACAATCTCTTATGGAACACGATCTGAAAGGTGTGTTGACGTGTAGAGGTAGAAATTTGGCTGCACTTTTTCTTCCAACAAAGCAGAAAAGATACTACTATAGAAATATCATAGACCACGACAGATTTTATTGATAGACTATCACAGACGATGACAGATACCTTGACAACGTCCTCGCAATCATAGATCATGATAGACAGCTTAGGGTATGGGTGTTGATCTAGGTCTTTTTATGATCCTGCGATACCAAAGCCCCACCGATAATTAAACTTCCACACAAAGCATTACATCTAAAGAATAGAAAAACAAGCAATCAATGATTTATTATTTCAAACTTAGAATTTAACTTTATATTCGAACAATTTCTCCGATGTTAATGATTTTTATATTTGTCATTTATTCATCATCAACATGTATCAAAAATTATTGTGGTGTAAGTGCTTGATCATAACTAAAACAATGTATATAAAGATAATCAGATTCATCAAACCATATTGAATATAATTGTCTCATTTTATCTATTGTTTTTTTGTATATTGTAGACCAAGTGTAGATTTTTTTATCCATGTCTTAATGATGGCATTCAGCAATGATCTGTGCTAAATCAATACTTCGTAAATAAATATTTGATAATGCTAATTGATTGAATTTAGTTGGTGGACTTATTATTGAAGCATATTGTACAACAAATTGTGATGTTGAATAATAAATATATTTGCTTTTCCATTCATGAATGAAGTTTGAGGATAATGATAAGTTAAGACTTACTAATATTTGTGAAAAATGACATTTTAATCAAGTTAGAACTTCATATTCATTTGAAAAAATACTTTTGAATTTGTGTTACTTTTTCGGATGTGAATGAATATAGATAATATATGTAGAGTATACCAAGAGTAGTGGCAAAAGCATTTCTATATATATTTAGGGGTTACTCCAAAATATGCCCTATAATTCTATAAAATTTCAGCATTTTACATTTGCTATGATATTCGAGTTACGATCATTGCTGTTCAACTCCAATTTTGTTTTCATCCATTATTTTATTAATGATGATTCTCATATTACAGTTGACAAACTTCAAACACTAACTAACCTAAACCATAGCATCATCCAACGAATAGTCTCCGATCATCATAAACCGAAAAAGATTACGACTAGTTCTACATCGTAACAGTTGACTTCAAAAATGATCATGAAAAGATATACTGTGAATTACTGTTCTGATAGATTGTTCTTCGTCTTCAATGTTTTTTTGATCTTTACGAAACTATTCATATCATCTTACGGGATTTGTTTTAGTTGTCTCTCATATATACATCAGTCACAGATAGACGTTCTTGTATTGTCTTATTCATGTATCGAAGAAGGTCAAAGTTATTTCAATACAAATTCATTACCTTCTTCGATGCGTGAATAAGACAGTACAAGAACATCTATCTACGTATTTTCCGATTGTTCATTCTTCATATCGTCACACAACAGAAAATGATCCATTTTGACACATTTGTTTAGTCAACAAAAACGAAAACTCACAAAAGATCACATAAATGTTTGTGCGAAGTGATCTCAATTTTCAGCAATAATGTTTTCATTAACATAAGAACAATAAACGATTTATTCAAAAACGTTTGTATCATCTCGAGACATGAATCTTCGTAACATAGTTCAAATAAATTTCTAGTACGTAAATTACATAGACTCGAATGCCTACTTCACCGACTACAAAAATGCTCACGATAGCGATGGTGTTACGAACACGTTTTTAGTCTTGTGATCTCAATCTATTGAAATCATTATAGTTTCTGTTACACTATACGAGGTGTGCACGAGTTGTTTCGAAACCAAACGTATATATATGCTGTCCATCTTCAAGGAATTAAATCGACGATAAAACAAAGATTCTTAAATATGAATGTCATCGAATCATTGCAACATTTTATTCATACAAATGACAAGCAAAAGTTTGGTTTTTTTTTATAATGTATGATTACATTGTTTACAGTGAAATTGAATTACTATTCGGTTAGATTCTTCTTCTTTTTTACATTAACTAAGGAACTTTTTGATTGATGAATATCATCCTTAGATTGTACTAGAAAAATGTTGAACGATGGAGTGCAACCATGTCGGATAAAATCATGAGTAAAGAAAAATATAGATTGGATTCTATTGGTTCAAAATAACCTATCACATATGACTCTATGATTCATTTATTTTAAATAAAAAGAAAACACACATAGTGCTATCGTTCGAGTACATTTAAAATAATATCTATTTTCTTGGACTATGGCATCGAGTTCAGCTTATGCTGATCTTGTTGATCGACCACTTTTTGGTGAAACAAGATCTCTAGTAAAAAAAAAACGAAAATGATTTAATTCTTATTAATATTTATATAGTTAAAATTTGTTTTTATATCTATTAGGATCGAATTTCATTCATCATTATTACAGCTGTTACGACTGTTTTTGTTCTAGTAATTTGTTTTTGATGAACATAACAAAATTTTTTTTTTTGAAAATATTTATTTTATTTAGGCAACATTTGTTGGCATGTTTCTTTTTAAACATATTAGTGGTACACATATTTTTTTAAATATCTGTCTTATTCTACTTCTTTGTTCACATTTATGTTTAGTAAGTACTTATAAAAAAGAGATTGTTTTGCTTCTTTTGTTTTTACAATTTAATTATTATAGGCATTTTGGTATCGTTCAGGTGAATTAGAACCACGTTTTCGTAATATGTTATTTTTTAATACAGCTGTTATTATATTATTATGTATTTGTGCTAATCTTATCATAAGTGGAAAATAGTTTTTTTTTTGTTCCATGTAAATATTGACTATGTTCTATATTCGAAAAATAAAACTAAATGATTTAGTCTATTGAATTATTCATCTGCAATCAGCATTTACTGTACTATAGAAAAATACTTTCTGATTTTTTTTTTCTTTTGTATCGGTTGAAGTTGAAATGAGATTAAATAAATAAAAATGAACTAGAAACAGAACATTTATGAAATGGCATCATTTTAATAATCAAAACCATTATTTAAATTGTTCATTTTCATCATATAGAATTTATTGTGAAGCATAAATAAAATAATTATTTTCAGTTCTATGATGTTAAAAGTATCAATAAGTACTCTATGATTCATAGCAAATTGTTCTACATATATATATATTGATTATTTGCATAAGAACATTGTTTGTTAATGCTAATAGAGTTTTTTTTTGTTTAGAAATGTGGCAACAATTTTTTTGTTATTTTGATTAGTATAGTTATTTTTTATAAATATTTTAAAAAAATTTATTTTAGTATTTTAACCTTTAAGATTAGTACTAAATAAGACTAATTGTTTTTTTTTTTTATTATGGATAAAGTAATAAAAGTATAGTGTTACACTACATCAATTGACTGACTACAAGTTCTATAGGCAAGAAGTGGGGAAGGCGGAAAAAATTTTAGATAAAATGAGTCCTATTGATTGTTCGTTAATTTAATCGGAGCTTGTAGCTTTTAATGCATCATTCTTTTCTTCAAGTAATTCTTTATGTGTCTTGTCCATTAATTCACGTGCCCAATCATCAATGGTTATTCCTTGAACAATTGAATAATTTCCATTTTTAATTTGTACGGGATAACTATAAACTAATCCTTTTTCAACACCATATGAACCATCACTAATAACACCCATGGAAACCCATTCATTCTAAAAATATTTATTTTAATTAAAATACAAAATTTTCTTTTTTTTTGTTCAATTTACATCTTTTGTTCCTTGCCACCAATCGCGCATATGATCGCAGCTAGCTTTAGCAGCTGACATAGCACTTGAAAGTTTACGAGCGGCAATAACAGCAGCACCACGTTTTTGTATGGTCTATAAAAAAAAAATAAAATATCATTATATAAATTTATGTTTCTTTTTTTTTTTTTTTTTTACCGAAATGAAATCATTTTTAAGCCAATGATCATCTTTAACAGCATCAAAAACAGGTGTTTCAGTACCATTGAGATTTACAGTTGCTGAACGTGCATCAGGAACTTGTGTTGCTGAATGATTTCCCCAAATGATAACATTTTTAACTGCATCAGGTGATACTTTAAGTCGTAATGCGATTTGTGCTTTAGCACGATTATGATCTAAACGTGTTAAACAACTAAAATTTTCTCGAGGAATTGATGGGGCATAATGAGCCAAGATGTAACAATTTGTATTGGCTGGATTACCAACAACAAGAACCTATTTGTTTTTTTTTTTGTCATAGAGAAAATTTCAAATAGGCAACTTTTTTTTTTTTTTTACTATTTACCTTGACAGATTTTTTGGCAAACTTATCAAGAGCTGTGCCTTGTGATTTGAAAATTTTAACATTGGCAGTAAGTAAATCTTTACGTTCCATGCCTTCTTTACGTGGCATAGCGCCAACAAAAAAAGCAGCATCAATATCTTTAAATGCTTGTTCTTCGTTATCAGTTGTGACAACACCTAAATTTATAAAATAGATCTTTTTTTTTTGAAATTCATTTCTAAACGAACCTTTAACTAATGGTAAACTACAATCATCAATTTCCATAATTAAACCTTGAAGTACACCTAACATTGGTGTAATATCAAGTAAATGAAGAATAAGTGGCTAAATAGAGAAAAAAAAAAGAAAAGGTTTTTCATCAATTAAATTATTTATAAAACACCAAAAAAAAATACTAACTTGATCTTTACCAAATACTTCACCATTACAAATTTGATAAACTAATGAATAAGCAATTTGACCTGCAGCTCCAGTAATTAAAACACGAATTGGTTCTTTATGACCCTAATAGAATAAAAATAGAAGAAAATTAAATTATATATATATAGTTTAGTTTTCATTTACTGATGTAGCCATTTTTCGCTCGAGATTAGTAAAATGTAAATAAAATGAAATCTATAACAAAACAGACACAAGCTATAAATATCTACTGAGAAAGAAGAGGTCAAAAATAAATTGCACCCTCGGAGGCATACACGTATAATGAAATGAGAAAGAAAAAAAGAACCATATAATATTCGATCGATATTATTGGTTTCCGAGACTAACCAATGAAAAAATCATTTTTAACTGATTGGATTGTCGATCATTTTATTTATTCTTTTTTATTTTTTTCGTCGTAAACAATGAACTAATGAATAATGTGAATATTATTATATTAATATTCATTCAAATATTTAATTTAATTAATAGTCAATGTAATCTCAATGGTCTTATATCATGTAATCAAGTACCTGTTGAATGTCTTGATTGTTCATTAACAATTAATTGTATTTATGGTGAACAACTTTCTAGTTTATGTCGAATGTTGAATGGTTCATGTATAAATAATAATAATAAAATTGTTTCATCATTTCAACGTATGTATATATGTCGATATTGTTATCAAACGCCATTAGATGAACTTGCTTGTACATCAAATATTGCTTGTCGTCATTATCAAAATTCTAATCATTATAAATCAAATTGTACAATTGCTGATAATACACAACTTTGTTTAGGTTCAAGAACATTTTATCGAAATATTGAATGTAATTGGACAAGTGGTCATAAAAAATTAAATACATTATTAATAAGTATATTTTTTGGTGGTTTAGGTTTTGATCGATTCTATTTAGGACATATTAAAGAAGCACTTGGAAAAATTTTTTCATTTGGTGGTCTTGGTATATGGACATTAATTGATTCTGTACTTATTGCTTGTGGTTATTTAACACCAGATGATGGTTCAGTTTATATGGAATAAAAACACAAAAAATTGAACTATGTGAATATTTTAAATGTTGTTAGATTTTTTTTTTTTTGTTTTTATATAAAAACGTTGAAAAATGATTATTTATTTTATAAGAATTGAAATTTATATAATGATAAATATAAAAGAAAAACAATAATTTGATAAGAAAAGTATACATCATTTAAACTCAATCGAATAATATAAGTTTTTCTTCTGATAGATCATTTCAATGTAAAGTTTAACATCTATATTTTTCAAAAAGTTGATAAAAAGAGATTTTTTATAAATCTTTTAAAATATTCTCTATCATTCTGAAAAATATGTTTCAATTGATTTTGCTTTTAAACATTCGAGAATTATATTTTCAGATATGTCATTAAATAATGATTCAATACAACGTAATAAATCTATTCTTCGTGATACAGATTCACAACGTTCACGTATAACAACAAATGAATCACATATTTTTAATTTACCTCCACCACCATCAACAACAAATCATTCACTATCAATAATTCGTACATCACCTATTCCAGGCAATTTTAATATTTTACCACCACCACCACCACCATCACCATTAACATCAGTGATTAGTGATACAATGTCAACATTTAATAAAGAACGTTTACATGATGTTTTACAACAAGGTTTAGGTACATATGTATTTATTGAACATTATGGTCTTGTACCAAAATTACATCATTTCTAAATCATGTTTATTTGTATTTAATTTAAAAAAAAAACAGTAACATTGATAATCTTTTTTTATATAACAACAAGAAAAAGAAAAAGCTAAATGAACTAATAAGTTATATTAAATGCTCGTACACATCCAGCTAGATAACATGAAATATAAAATTTCGTACCAAGACGATTTGTACATATACCTGATGGACGTTTTATACGTTCATTTAATTTTAATGTTGTTTTATATTCACCATCCGATGTAAATATCTACAAAAAAACAAAACAATATGATTTCAAATAATAGACAAAAAATCTTCAATCTAAAGATTTAAATAATTTGTTTTGACATATTTTATCAACAAAAGTCGATGATTGACATTACACTGTCGTTATAATGGATGGTATCTTCTCTTTCTTTTTGTCAGTCTTATAAGCATAGCAATCAAGAGTATTCTATGTCAGCTGGCTTATCATTATGTAATGCTATCTAGATTATTATGGGAATATGATTTATGACCAGTGGATACAATTTATTAACAGTCGATTATGTAAAAGGATCAGTATTAAAAAAAAAATGAATCATTTTTGTTTTTCGTTTCTCTTCACCTGTTCTATATTTAGATATTATCGTTTGTGTGACTTATTTCTTTTAACCTATATATTTTGTAAAAAAAACATTTTTTTGATTCTTTTTTTGTATTCATTATTGAAAATGAGAAAAAAATTTTTTAATCTATCTTTCTATATAATTTTTTTAAAATAGAGAAAATTCTATTTACTTGAATTCGATCATTTTTACTATCAGCACTTATAATATTTCCACCAGTATCAATAAATAAACCAGATGGATCTGTCATTTCACCATTTGCTCGTCCTTGACCACCAAATATAGTTGTATATTGATATTCACATCCATTTCGAAGAGTTGTTCCATAGATTAAACTACGACCTTGAAATAATTATAAAAATTTCTTTTTTTTTGTTTCTCTCTTCAAATACAAAAAAGAATTTTTCGTTTACCAAGATCAGCTATATAAATATTATCATTATATGCAGTAAGAAAACGTGGTTTACTTGTTGTTTCAGATAAAATTTTTCCTTGAATATGATTAATAGATTGTTGTTTTAAAATATCTTCTGATTCTCGATTAATATTAATAGATTGTTCAAATACTAATTGACCATTATTTGGATCAAATAATAATAAACGACTATTTTCAGGTGTTTGATTATCAATTGATTTTGAATCAATTGTTAATAAATAACGATCATGAAATACAGCAATACCTAATGTAATACGATGAACAACAAAAAAAATCAAGATTTCTTTTTTTCTTAGAAAAACAAACCATATAATTGTTTAATAGAACGATGACCAATTGTTTGAATCAAACGACCATCAGGTTCAGTTATAAAAATATAATCTCGTTCGACAATTAAGATATTATTACGTACATTACTCATTACAGCACTTGGACGATGAAATTTCATTTGCTAAAAATAAATTAATAGAACAAATTTGATTATTACATAAAAAAAAAAGCTATTAGTACAATCTTTGTCAGATTAATATATGAAACATAGGGGAATTGCTGTTGCTAATCACAAGGAGATTTCTTCTATACTTCAGTACTTCATTGAGATTGTATTTTATAAAACAAAACGGAAACTCATATAATCAGTAGTTCGAAGATAATCTAAAATACTAATTAACTACACAATTTCAGTTTTATAAAATTGTTCAATTTTACATGTCGACTAAACCCCCACTTCCCCCGCAATAGAAGACTTCCCTTTAATTAATTAATTTTTTGCTAATTAGAAGCTTTAATCAGTGGATTTCTGTGAAAATATGTCCAGTTTTTAGTCAGGAATCTAAAGAAAGTGAGTCCAAAATGATCCCTAGCTCTTTAAAACCCTTGTGAAAATCCTAAAAACTGCATCGATTGTCTGAAAAAACTTTTTGAATTAAAAATTTGAAAAACAATATGGGACTCAATACAAGAACCAGGGTCTTCTATTACGGGTGAAATGGTTTATTTTTCGGCAGTGAGAAGGTCGCACGTCTTTTTATCTGATATTATACATAAGACAAAATTCTTTTAAGCGTTTTGAAATACCTGATTACTAGCAATCGTATGTTTTAATCGACCAGTTTCAATATCAAATAAACGAACATTTTGTGAATTACGATGAACATCACATGAAAGTAATGTTAATTCATCATATGACAAGGCAACTCCAATTGGTAAACAAGTAGCATGTGGACTATTTTGTGGTGTACCATATGTCATACAGAGATCACCATATAAAATAGGTCGATCTATATAAAGAGAAATAAATAAATCATAGTAACTATTTTTTTTGTTTTTAAAAATATACTTTGTTTATTTTCAAATTCTCGTATATATCGATCAGTTATATGTGAATGACTATTTCCTGTTGTATAATTTATATGTGATTGTTCCATAACAATAGAAAGACATTCTTTAACAGGATGCCAACTATATTATTTAAAATAAAAATATTCTTGAAATCTATAAAAATTTTGTTGATTTACTTAGCCCCAGCTACAGCAGGATCAATAGAAATTTGATTTAGATAATATTGACGAGTTGCTTCATTATCCCATTCATCATCAAAACTATAAAATAAAAAAAATCCTAGAACATTATTCTTTCTTTAATATATATTTGAATGAACATACATAGAATATGTATTTGATGTCGTACCAGATCGAAGAAGATCATCATTTAGAAGTATTGAACTAGGTGTATTACATTCGTAGGTACGAATTTTTTCATCTTTATTAATTATATTTAATTTTGATGAAAAATTTTGATTGTTAACATCTGTTGTTGTTATTGAAATATTACGTGGTGGATAAGAAGCTATAGTTCCTATGGATTTTTTCTTAGATAATATTGTTGGATCTGTTATTTCATATTCACTTAGATATGATACATTTGATATTGTTTTTGATGATGATTGATTAGTAGTTGTTGAAATAGGCACTGAATTAACTGATAGATTCTTCATTTGATTCATAAGTTTTGTTGTAACTGATGTTGCCATTGATGAAACAATATTATTTTGTGTTGATGGATATGATATTAGAGAAGATGATTCTGATTGATTTGTTTGTAATGGTAAAATAAATGTTGAACATTTCTCATTTTGACTTGTAGACATAACAGATGAAAATGGAACTGAATTTGTTATTATTTGTTTCATAGTAGTATTATCATATTCATTAGATTCGTGTAAATCTAATATTAAAAAACAAAAAACAATATTTATAATCTTCTAGAATCATTCATGCATGATATATGATTTTTCTTCGAAGAAATTATTAATGTTTCGAGTTTTCAAACATAAGAATTAACTTTATGTAATGATGTTTTCGAAAAAAAAAAACTACTTTTATGGTTCGAATGAGAAATTTAAAATACCTGAGTGTTCATTAATTTTAATTTCAGTATGTTTTTTATTCATTTTTTCAATTGGAACTGTTGTATCTAAATTATTATTTGCTGATATAATTTGTATTTCAGTTGGTAATGAATTAATTTTTTGAAGATTTGTTAATTCTACTCGAAAAAATACAAAAAAAAAATTTAGAAAAAGTAAAAATCTTTATTAAATTATTTACTTGACATATTTTTATACATATTTGTATAAATATTATTCTCCTTATCTATTTGAATAACAAAAAATTTTTGTTATATTTTTAGTTTTTAAAATTTGTTTTTTTACTTTCATATTTAATTATAAATAAAAGATTATGACGAATTGATTCAAGTAATTGTGATGAATGTTGAATAGTATCTGGATCAAGCCATATAAAACATTCATCAATACTATTTTTAAGTTTACCTGTAAAAAAATTAAAAAAATAAATAAAACATAAAAAAATATTAATTTACTAGCAAATTGTTGTATATCATCATAGATTAATTCTGTATCAGGTGCAAAACGTATAAATGTTTGTGTAAGTGATAATAAAATATTAAATGTATCTTGTGGATTATCATGTAATAATGCTTGACAATCATCAAGTGCTGGTTGAAGAAATGTATTTACAGCATAAGCAAATGGATGAATTCTATTTAGAGATAAATTTTATGAAAACAAAATACATAGAAAGATAATTCATACTGATGAGCAAGAAACTTAAATAAAAGTAACTTTGGTCGATCGAAATTATTTGATGATGTTGTTTTTGGTTTCATATTTAATCGAATAAGTTGAAATGAAAAACGACATGTCGATTAATTGTCCCTCACTTTTTCTTTTTTTACCCATTTTTTCTTTCTAAATCCAATCGTATATTTTCTCATAGATATTGTCGAGTGCGACATCTTGATTTTAAGACGAACTGATTATTAAAGATTCTGTTTGTAATTTTTATTTATAATTTGATAAACAAAGCAACCAAAAAAAAAAAAGAGTAATCAACAATTTTATGCATTATATATCAAATATCTGACAAAGGGGGAACAAAAAAAAAAAATTCATGAAAAATATATACAATTAAAAAGAATTTTGTTCAAGTGAATTTATAAGAATATTTTTGTTTCGTGGAGGTATTGGTGGTGGTGGTGAAGATGAAGAAGTAGAAGAAATATTTATTGAATTTGATGGTATAACAGGATGTTGAATTAGAAAATGACCATGATTATTGCCGTTATATAATTCAACTTGAAACGATGTTGTTCGATCAATTAGATTGATCTAAAATAAAGTAAAAAGAAAAGACGTCATATTGAGACTGTCAATAAATAAAACCAATGAATGTGACTTTCGTTCTAATATTTTTCCTTAATTACTTCTGATTGATTTGTATCGACAGGTTCTATTGGACTTGGTGTTTGATTTATTGTTAAAGCATTTAATAGAACATTACGCTTAAGTTTATATGGACTTTTAGTAAGACGAGACATTATTCCTGTTCGTGTTGGACTACGTTTTGTTGTAGTAGTAGTTGAAGATGTATCATCAGAATTATTAGTGAATAAAATTTTATTACAAGATTTATTATTTATTGTTGTTATTGTTTTATCACTATGATTAGGACTTGAATCAGATGATTTTGGAGGTTTACGATTAATGATATTATTATCATTTGAATTTGTATGATTAGAAGGTGAAGGATTTGATGAAACAGGTGAAATAAGTTCTTCAGAATTTTTCTAAAAAAAATGTTATATATACATAGAGAGATCAAAAAGTTCTTCGAATTTTAAAGAGAAGCATGTCGGATTTTGTGATATATTCAGAATTTAAAAAAAGCAAAATATGCCATGTTGTAGAGCAAGTCGAATGGTATATAAAAAATCTTGTTTTCATAAGATTTTGAGGGAACCAGACTGGATTTACTGATAGGCGACGACCATCGAATGAAAACACTGACCATTGTGGGTCTTGATATCAGTCGAAAATGTTTGTAAAAATAATTTTCCTATATATAGTTTTGTAGCGCTTTTTACGGGCTACAAGCTCATATACTCTGCATCTTCGATCATCCTATCTTTCATAGGGAAAAATGTAACTTTTCGATGACCCACCGTCGTTTTCTATGGGTAGTGATTGTTGATGAGTCTTTGAATTCACGGACGTCCACCAGTAAATCCAGTGTGGTTCTCTCAAAATCTTATGAAAAGATGATTTTTCATATAACATTCGACGCGTCTCGACTTGTTCTACAACACGATGTGTTTAGTTTTTTTAAATTCTGAATAGATTATCAAACTCGGCATGCTCATTTTTAAAATTCTCAGAACTTTTTGATTTCCCTAGTAAATATTAATTGATATAATGATTGTTTTACCGTTTTTTTATCTGGTGTTGTTGAAATTTGAGTATGTGGTTTTGTTGATAAAGGAAATCCACCTGATGATATTGATTGATTACTATCAATTTGTGATTTATTCTTAATAATTGATGGATCATCTAAATTTTCTTGTGATTGTGTTTGTCTTAATGGTATCTGTATAAATTGTGCTTCATTAGTATTATCTTCTGATTGAGTACGATGAATTATTTTTGTTTCAGATGAATTTGAATCTGATCGTGGTGTTATTGGATTTTGACGACGAAATCTTGCTATAACAATATTTGAATCTTCTGATTCACTATATTCATCATATGTACGAAGTTTTATTTTATATTCTCCTTCATCACGAATACAATCAATAATTGTTTCGAATTTTCCGGATTCAACAAAACCTTTTAAAATATCATCAATATATATTCTATAACCAAGAATTTTATATTGTTCATTTAATGGATTTGGTACCCAATGAAGAAAAAAACTTTTTGTATCACGTTTTGATATATGTGCACGAAGTGGTGGATATAATGTATGAGATTTATTATTTAAACGTGATTCAAGTTCATGTAAACGTTGATTAAGTAAACGATTTTCTTCAAGTATTTTTTCTGTTTCATGTTGATGAGTTAAATTTTGAGATTCGAACTAAAAAAAAGAAAAGAAACTTTTCAATAAGAAATTTGTTTTTTCTTAGTTTCGAATTTCTTACCATTTTCCAAAGTGTAGCTAATGCTGATGTTTGTAATTCTGTTGTTTTAGTAAATCGTTCATGTAAATCAAGATATCTATTTTAAATAAAATAAAAAAAATTAAAGAAATAAAAATTTTACGAATAAGATCTTACGCTTGAAGAACTGATGTTCTCATTGTTTCCATTGATGTTGTTAATTTTTTTAATTCAATACTATTGTCTCGATTATATGTTGTATTTTGAGGCGATAACATTGTATTAACAGGAGCAGATTTTAATTGTAATTCATCTTCATCATCTGTTACTATAAGAATAATAGTGTTGAATAAAAAAATTAAAAAAGAATTCTATCTATTTACGATAAGTGGAATTTTATTTAGGAGTTTCTATTAAACAGCTAATTTCTATGACAATCGGGATTGATCAAAAAAAACGCTGACCCAAAAAGACAAAATTTTAAAAATCTATCATACAAAAAGTTTTGTCGAACGAATTTTGTTCTACAAAATCGACGATAGAACATTTCTAACTGTTAAATCGCTTTTGATTCGAAACTATGTGCATCATAGATGTTCTGATAAGCTACAAATATTTTGAAAAAAGTTCAAACTAATTGCTGCTAGCGTTCCTCAGGTATAGCAGAAAAGTTAAGTTTTGAATTTCGACTTAAAACTTTGCAAAGAAACAGGCATTTATAAGAATAACGTTTTCTGAAAGTTATGAGTTTTTTTATTTAGCCTATACTGAAATAAAAACATCCTTTTACAATAACTGTACTTTAGGATAGAAGCAATCAACAGATGTACCTTCCCAGCTAATATCATTCCGTGCCCGACTTATATCGGATCGGATTGCGAATCTCAGGATGGGTTTGCAGTCTCTAAATAATTTGTAGATGTAAAAAGCCTTCGGAATGTTTTCCTCATTTGAAAGTTGTATAAGAGAGTGTAGAAAAACTTAACAAAAACTAGAAGGTATGTATTACATAATCTATTCTTCACTGACATCAGACAAAATTGCATAGTAAGTGTACTGTTTGTCCAGTAGCGCGATCGAAAGATAGTAGGTTGTATACATACGACAAGAAAAAATTTTATCACATAATCGTGTTATCATCACTGTAAAATATCAAATACAAAAAGAGAAAAGTGATCAATATCAAAGACCAAATCTGATCAAGTCAAAAATATTTAACACAAGTCGAACATTTATACCGTTGAGTAAAGAAGTTCGAAAATGCAGCTATTTTAAACGTTTTATTAACTACTTTATATTTCTTTTCTTTTCAGTGTACACCTACAATTTTTAATTTCATTTGAAGTAGGTTGTTGTTGTTTATGTTTCTCCTTAAGTGCTGATGTTGTACGATGCGTACGTTTCACTAAATGAAATGCATTTGTATTATCTGCAGCAATTGTATGACGTTTTGCACGATTTTTTTGTTCTAAAAAAATTATTTAACAATAAAAAACAATTTGTTTTTACGATTTCAAAATCTATCTTTGAATTATAATAATTACGTATAGGAAGATTTTTATTTGATTTTGTACGCATATTAACATGCATAGTTGTTGATGCTGTTGGTCCACGTGTAGTAGTTTTTGGTGAATATCGATTAGCATTATATGTTAAATGAGTTGATGTACGTTTAGATTGTTGAGGATTAGTTAATGCTCGTGGTCGAGATATATTTGCATCATCATTTGTATGATTGTCAATTGGATATTGATTAAGTTTTGATTGAAGCATATTTTTATCGAGTGGTTTTATAGGTCGATTATCATAATCACTATAACGAGTATTTGAACTATGTTCAGTTATTTGTTCATCGTTTTGAGTAGTCGATCGAATATATCGAGGACTTGGTGTTTGCATTTGTTGTTCTGAATTTGTAAAAGATATTTTTTGATGATAATCAGATAGAATTGGTTCCTTAACTGGTGAAATAGAAGATGATGGACTAATTTTAACAAATTCAGATTCAGATATAAGTAAACTTTTTTGTAATTTAGTTTGAGTATCTAAAAATTAATTATTTTAAATTAATAGAATTTTAAAAAAAAACAAGATATCTCTAACCTTTAGATAATGTATCATTTGCATCTTTCATTGTATCAGATGCTCGTATAAACATTTCTTTAAAAAGTAAAAAAAAAAAAAAGTATGCCATTAAATAACGTCAATTTTTCTTTTTCTTTTTCTTTACCATCAAAATTTTGTTTATATAAATCTTGTTGAAACATAATACGTGATAGATGAAGATCATCTCTCTTCAAACAAAAAAGAAAACAAATAATAGAAAATTTTGAAATCAAAGTTTTACTTCATCTGCATCAGTTCCACAAACTTTTATTAAATATTGAACAAGTTCATTATGTTCACCCGATCGAAATGATCGTCCTTTACCTTGACTTAACAGCCATTCAGATTTTAAACTAAATTTAAAAGACAAACTGTTACGACAATCCTTGCAGGATTAAGATATAATTGCTTTTGTTAGTCATAGGCAGATTGTTTTATTTTACAGTAGTCGTAAGAAGTATCGCTACTAAAATTCAATCCTTTTGTCTAACATTTTGACTACAAATAGAGCTTGGTTAATCCTGATCGCAAGGAACTATACAAATTAATAGATCTTAATGCAAAGGAAACACGAAAAACACTGTTTTCATTTTCTTATCAACAAATAAAGGTTCGCATGTCTATAATATGTCATAGATAGGATACTGCAACGTGCTGTAATCTTAGTGCGAGGCCAAGCGTTCATTGTCTGACGAGGTAACCTCTTCAAGTGTTAGTCGTCGATCGAGCTCATATTTTACTCATAAGTAAGACTTGATAAGACTAGCAGAAGCCCAGAAGGATTCGTTCCCATATGCTGTCCTTCAGAAGTTACGACCGTTTTGCTGGTTTTTCGACCTCTGGCAATGGGATTTAGAAGAAAGTCCAGCAATGGAATTTTGTACATAAACAGGTCTCATGGTTACAAGAATGTCTGAAAAGTTTCAGCTAAAATGTACGTTTCTTTCTCAAGATATTGAGTTTCCAAAAAGCTCGATTTTTTGACTTTTGTCTTTGAAATATGATCGCTCCTGGAAAATTCAATATCTTGAGAAAGAAACATTCAATTTAGGTTAAACTTTTAGGTCATTCTAATGACCATGAGACCTGTTTGTGGACAAAATTCTATTGTTGGGCTTTCCTATAAATACCATTACCAGAGGTCGAAAAACCAGTAAAACGGTCGTAACTCCGGAAGAGCAGCACGTATGGGGACGAATCTTTTCTGGCTTCTGCTAGTCTCATCAAGTCTTACTTATGAGTAAAATATGAGCTCGATCGGCGATTAACACTTGGAGAGGTTCTCTCGTGAGATGATCCCAGCATGAATCTCTTCTTCATAGCTGACTACGATTGTGAAATTTTGATTTAAGTAGAGCACTCACTGGTAGAGATCTAGCGACAGCATTGAACTGTTTGAACTAAAAATCTGAGTTAATCTTTCAGATCCAATGCATGAAGACTGTCCAAGCTTTGATTAGTCCTAGCAACAAGTAGCTGACATATTTAGACATGTAAGTTGATCGACTGAGCCATTGATCAATGCATCAGCTTACATCTCTACATATATTATAACGAGATGTTATTGCTATGCGATCAATCCATGAGCTCTAGTCAATACTCCTGTTAAATCGTATGTCGAAAAATAGATTCTACTTGTATGAACCTTTCTTTTCTTGTAATGAATGTTCCATCTAAATTGTGAATTGTTAAACACCAATTAAGAATATATGGACGATAATCAAATGGTTGATGACAACCATGTCGATCATCAATAACAAATAAACATGGATTATTTTGAATATATAATGTATTTAAATCAATTAATGATGATAAATAACAAATCTAATTTAAAAAACGAAGAAGAAATAAAAAGAAATCGTAAATTAAAATGAACTAAAAAAAATTCTTACCTCAGTTAAATCTTTTATTTCATTATCTGATATGATTAATGTATGAATTGATTTTGGCCAATATCTTGATATTGATGTTAATGTATCAATAAGATTTTTATGTAAATTTAAAAACTAATCAAAAATAAAATAAGTTTTTCTTCAATTAAATAATCAATTATCGAAAAAAAAAGTATTTTTCAATTTATAGAAACTCAAAAAAACATTGATCTTGAATCAAAATTTCGCATTAATTTTGAATAAGGCAAAACTCATTCTTCAAGTCTGTTCTTCATAGAAATCGTTAAAATTGCCACGATACTTCACTTCTAATTTGAGTAAGTTGTAGCACTGTCAAGTTTGACTCATCAATCTCAAATTAAAAGTCCTATAGAAATGTTCAAGTCATAATCGCAAAATTCTGATTGTTTTTGGAAAATTCAACAAACTCTTTGAAGAGATTGAAAAATACTTTGTCGATAATCTTTTAAAAAATGTCTCGTTTATATTACTTTTAATGATGTTAAATGTGAAAGATCTTCAATATGTCGAACAGAATTATCACTTGCATCTAATGATTGTAATGAATGACAACTATTTAATGCACCAATATTTTGTATATGATTACTGGAAATATTAAGCATGACAAGATTTTGTAAAGTTTTAAGACCTAAATAAAAGAAATTAAAAGAATTTCTCTAGGTTTTTTTTTGTTTTCTGTTTTATTACAATCAATTGAATCAAGAGAATTATTGGATAGATTTAATTTTTGTAATGTTTTTAAACGACTTATTAAACGAATATCAATTAATCGATTATGAGATATTGATAACTAAAAATTATTAAAAAAAAAGGATATCTATACAAAGAAGAGATATAGCAAAAAAAAAGAATCTTACTTGAATAAGATGTGTAAGAACATCAAGATGTTCTACTTTAGTTATATCATTATTATCAAGTAAAATAACATTAAAATTAATATTATTTTGTAGTTTTTCTATTTTTTTTAAATTTTTTGAACATAAATCAAGTTCTGTTAAATGTTGTTGTGATAAACGATCATCTATAGAAAATGTTAAAGGTTGATAAACTCGATTTGACATTGGTGTTGTTGTTGTTGTTGTTTTTGAATGCATAGATTCAGTTTGCCAATGATTAGCTGTTTGTTCTTGCCGTGTAGGCACTAAACGTTGTTGTGTGATTTGCATTTAAATTTGAAGAACTAGTAGAAACAAGAATATTCTACATAACAATCAATTAAACATTGAATAGACGTAATAAAATGTGTTAAGTAGTAGTTGAGTAAGTGATTGTCATGTTCTTTAAATGATTTCATATTTGTTTTGTTCGTTCTTTACTCGGTTGTTGCTTCGTTTTTAAGTTCATTTCTTTGTTGTTACCATATTTTTCAAGTGTTGATGACCATAGTAACAATCAAAGACTAATGAGATAAATATTTCTTATTAAATATCGATTGTAAATGTTTTGATTTAAAACAAAAATGTAATTTTAGATTAAAAATTCAAGCATATGATCTAATAGATAGCGCCACATGGCAATGTGAGTCTTGATCTAAATATTTAATAGATTTTTTTTAGTATTTCATGGAAATTGAATTTATTTCCTACGTATAAAAGACAACAAGCGTAATTTTTGAGAAAACATATCAATTCATCAGTGTTGGATTTAGAATTTTTAAAGGAAAGAAAAAGCAGAATTTGACGAGGCTTAGTTGTCTGGGAAAGGTGTAAGTAACACACTAGTCACAGAATACGATTAATCGAACAAAAGTGTTTCATGTTGTCGGAGTGACCATTCAATTCCCATTAAAAAATTTCATTGAGAGTATTAAAGTGCGGTTCGTCCAGGTCTGAAAATTTTGGATTCGATCGGCTATATTAAGAAAACAATTTTAGATAAAAAAAATCACTTTTGGGAATCAGTGTTTGTCTTCACTATTTAGTATTGGATTCATTTTTCATTTGAATGACTTTGTAGATTATTTTGCAATAATCAACATACGAACCGAAATAATTTTACATTAAATAAGCTTTGTATACTACTTTGAATAAGCTTCAAATGAAACGATTACTTATGCATTATGGTTTACTAAGATAATCTAGAAAATATTTCAAACATATGTTCAGGATATTTTTTAAAATAAAGGTTGATCATCATGGTAAACATCTGAAAGCTTCTAGTAAATGTTTGTTTACTCTACAAATGTATTAATTTGTTTTCTAGTGATAGAAGAGAGTTCTAGATTTTTATTTATAGAGAATAATAAAAGGATAATTAATAGAAAATGAACGAAAATTAACTTAATACAAAAGTCTACGTTATGTACTTAGAACAAAATGGTAGATATGAAATCTTAGAGGCAGAAGGTCATCTTTATATCTTTCTTTCCTTTTTTATTCTTCAGCCCTTGAGTTTTACAGTGTTCCATATAGCTATTTGAAGTGAAACTCACATAGCTTTATACAAATTACACTATATTTTCCCAATGCCTTCAATAGTTTCGTTAGCTCTTCCACATTTGCAAAGTGCTTTCTTATACAGGAAATTTTCGAACATTCAAGATAATTACTGCTGTCTCTTTCTAATAGAGTAGATTTTTGTCGATTAAAATAACCTGTTTTAGTTTTTATTTAATATTCTTAAATGTTTTTTTTTTAGAGATAAAAACTTGAAACTCTCTTCTGTCACCCGGAAAAAAATCAGCTCATTGGGTTAGGATGCAGTGAAGATATTTAAATCTTTTTTATAGTTACTTTATGAGTGTCTTGTAATTTTCTCTGCTAAAGGAAAGAGGAAAATCAATTCCCGCTGGATATGTCACTGAACTATCTGATAATTAAGACTTACAGATCAATAAAAAAATAACATCATTATAATTTGCTCAAAATAATTTTCCTAGTAATCATCTTATTGTTGTAATTTTCAAAATATAACATCAAACTATCATTCTAACTTTAGCTAGACGATTAATAATAGCTTATATGACTTCATTTTGAATTATCAATTCAATATCGAGCAATGAAAAGTTGTTTTTAGACACACACATTTGTAGATGTATTTGATGAGGATTATCTTACCCACACACACGTATACATTCAAAAATCTTCTTTTGAAGATTAGTTGACTTAGAACCATGGAGCAACCAGTTGCTCGAAGCGATATATCATTTTTTTTAATCGAATCATATCTTATTTGTGAAAGTCAAAAGAACGTTGCATACCTTTAAAAATGAAAACAGATGTCTGATTAAAATTAGGCTTATGCACATATTAGACCCTTAAAGTTTCCAAAAAAATTTGAATTCAATTTTACACATCTGGCGGACAATATAAGCCAATGAGATTAGATACTAATTTCAAATGTTAAAATACAAGCGATTAAGGACACAGGTGTTCTTCAAATAAATTCAACTCTTCTCTCAGTTGCATATTGTGTATGCTAGCTAAATATTGGGTGACTGTCATATTTATTGAAAGAAAACGATTTTGTTTCAACAAAAAAAAGCTCAGTTAATTGACTATCACACCGAAATAACAGCTTTATATCATGTTTCGATTTAATCTTTGCTGCCTTACCATTCTCATCATATACCTATATATATCAGATATTCTGCGCATATCTTGTACAAAGACTTGGCTTTTCTTGAAAACAACGTCATCTTTGAAAACTTGCCACAATTTCGTAGTGAAAAATTCCAAACACTATTCAATTTCACGATGACTCTGTAAGTGTTTTTGTGAAGTTACCTTCGATAGTTTTTTGAATCGATTTATCTTTCATTTTCAAAGACTTTTGGTCATTTTATTATTGTTAAATATCGGTAAGTATTATGATCAAATTTGAAAAATTTCTTAAACATCAATATATCGTATCAATACAGTTCATCATGAAATGGTAGTTGGATTTTCATCAAACGAAATACCACCGTGCTCGAGCAATTATGATTGTGAGTATTTCTCGTTGGCTACTGGAGGTCAAATGTGTGCCGACGCTACAGTATCTTGTTCACAAATGTTACCTTGTAATTCGGATAACATGACATGCACAGAACCAAATACTGTTTGTGTAACGGATACACGTTGTAGAAAATCTGTTTGCTATCCGTTATCAGCTGCTGATTCCAAATTACGATGCCCGCCAAATAACGACTATGGTATGTATATAGTTTTCGTAATAATACAATTGCGGCAATTAGATGTAAAATACAACACAGCTAGTGCACATCGATATGAAAATACCTATAATATCGATGATGATTCATCACACCGTTTAGTGAAAATTATCTTCAAGCATTTGCATCTGTCAGTGATAGAAGCAAAATACTAGATTAGAAGGGAAAAAATAGTAGTTGGGTTTCACGATTTGAAAACGACGTTGAATCCACAACTCAAAATCCAGTGGATATAAAAGTTCAAATACTCTAAGGATAGAAGTCAATATCCCATGTTCTTACGAATCTTGTGCTGCTCATTTCTTTCAGAGTCAAGTCTTCTCTAACAAGGAAAGCTCCTCAAATGATTAATCGATTTGTCATAGAAACATGCATGACTGTATGCAGTTCACTACGTTGATTCTGAATATCAGAGTCTTAGTGGTCCTTAGGCCTTTCTATATCCTGTATCATTATAAGACACCTCTTACATTTCGTTTCGTGTCATGATCATGTACTCATCAATTAATCATAACTATACTACAGTCGACAAAGTATATAACAATGGCAGAAATGAAAAACACGTCTGTTAATTTCTCAAAATATAAAAGATTAACACTGTCAATGTAAAAGAATTCGAGGCGTGGATGGATGATATGGAAATTCATCCCAGCACTCATATCCCACCCTTATCTGCGAGAATATCATTCATGCTCATAAGAACGATAAAAGAATGTAGCGATTATCGATCATACTTACTTATTATGCACATGAATCGAAGTTGCATATCCCTATAATAGAAAAGATAGTCGTACTGTATATTGTTCATTTTTCTCAGGCTGCAGTCTATACAAATACAACATAGTTAAGAGTTGAAAGTCTTGAGTGAACTATATTACGAATAATATCAAATGGTGATTGTGTCCTAAGCATGATTGAGTAGCCAAGTGCTAAATTATTAGAAAAAAATTCACATATTTTAACTGATGAAAGAATCAGGCTCAAAACTCTGCAAAGTATTGTAAATTCACAGTTTCTAGAATATAAGCCAGAACATTGCTACATGTCTGTTGAATTCATAGCTCATATCGATGTTAAAATCTAGTACTTCGAAAAGTTAATCTATTGATTTCAGAACATATTTATTTGTATGAATTGTGTTCTAGGCTGTCCATGTGGTAAACTACCAATTCAATTTGACGATATTATCGACGTCTGTACCTACAGAAATATTCCCAGTACATATGCTCAGTATCAATGGCACAACGTTATGGTTGTTTGTGCAGCTCCCTACACATATACAGGCTATGGCACAGTTCTACGAAGCGGTGCATATGTAGCAGCCAATATAGAAAGCAATCCGATGACAATAACTGCACTGAATGAAAGGACATTTACCTTGGATTCATTTTATGCATCTGTTGCTTGGGCAGAAGTTGCAAATGCAACTTTCACAGGCTTACGTCATGGCAAGGAAGTTTATTCTCAAAGTGTCAGACTCTCAGTAAAAACTTCTGAATGGATCAAACTGAACTGGTTTGGAATTGATACCTTTCGAGTTGAAACAACAAAAGGTGCTAATTTAGCGTTTGACGATCTTTGCATCTCTTATTAAGTAACTAAATTTTTATGCTATTATAAATTCAAAACCACCAAAAATAAAATTATGCAATCTAACTAGATAATAAAACTCAATTCATAACTCGTCCATGATGAACTCATAGTTTCATAGTCGAAAGACAATGTATCTATCAAAACTAGCCTAAGTGTGATGGTCAGTAATTGAAACTTCATGTGGTTTAATAACTTTGAAAAGTTTTAATTGCAGATCTAGCTTATATATTTTATATTTTGCCATAGAAAAAAACATTTTCTGCTATCAAAGACTCATTTCAATATCTTACTTTTCAGAGATGCTTTGTTTTGATAATATGTAAAATTTATTAATGGAAATTATTGTATTTGTAGTTGCTGTAAGTTTTACCATTAAGAGCATGCTTGTGTGTATATAGTATATGTATGTGTCTGCGGGTATGA